AATCTGTACTTAAATCCAAGCCTGCTGTTAACTTCTCTTGCGGTCTATTCTTGTGTTTGCTGTTATTTTTTTAACACTTTTTTGTGCATAAAAGCACTATCCTCTCCCCAGAGCCTGCCTGCAGTGAAGACATGGTCTGTACAACTGCAATTATTTAGAAGAACAGATGGAGTGAAGAGCAGAAAGTCTGTTAATAGTAATAGAAATGCTACATGTTAACCTGGACAGCACACGATGACAGTCCCATGACTACACGTTCTGTTCCCACCAGCTGGGCACCAACGCAGAAGTGAGAGATTCACAACCGTAGCAAAACCGAGAACCCACCTAAAGTTAGAAATCAGATTCCTTCACACTTTTTTGCTGTAGGGTTTTTTTTTTTTGCCCCCCCCCTCCATTACTCACAAAATAAATGAACCTCATGGTCATTTCAAAATATTTTTATATTTAAGGTGTGGTGTTATACATTTTAGCATGGTTGGCAGGACAGAAATTTGGCATGAATGTGTGAGAAAGATTTATAGTAATGCAAGGACAAAAATCATCTCATTCCTTTCCTGTGGGAGATTCGATGCCATCAGAGCTATTTTGATTTTGGAGGCAACAGCTCTGAAAAGTGATTGTTGGGTTGCATACCCGACAATCACTTTTGTTGAGTGATGCTTCCGACAATAGTTTTTCTCTTTCCTGAGCTTATTTTCCTGTTTAGGTTGCTTTGAATGATTGGTTGCGACAAGCTGTATCTTTTGTTTCTCATTACATGACAAAATTATTGTAAATTCCTGCGTTTTATGTGTTTTATGATGTTTGAGCCTTTTTATACTTTTGTTTTGCTGATCACCTTCTCCGTCCAGGAAATTCTTAGCATCCTGTGATAAATCCACATTTCAAATGCTTCTGTCTCCTGTATAGAACCATGAATACATGGTACCAGACTGTATGCAGTCTTGAAACCAGTTTAAAGGCTTTGTTGCATATCCCATTCTTCATCTGAAGCTACTTTAGGCTATCTCTGTTCTGACTTTTGTTTCATGATTATGCTCTCACTATTCATTCAGTTGAATACCTGGATGCTGAGATTTGTCAGGGTGCTCCACATTTTCATTCTAGATCTAATTTTTGCATTTCTTGGACCACTTACCATAAACTTGCTTTTCTTAGTTATTGTTTCTATACAGTTTTTATTATTTATTTTCTTGAGTAACCTTTGCAGATCATCCAAATTGTCAGCTGCAAATGCTGCATCATTTGCATATTAGACATTGTCAATAACTTGTCTATTTACAGTGATAATATCATTTGCATTACAGCAGCCTTTTTGAAAGATTCCTTGATGACCTTTCCCTCCACAAGCTTTCTTTGTAATCAGTTGTAGTGTGTGTGAATTACCCCAGACAATGGATGACCATGAGAGCAAAGTGGAATCTGTATTACCTTATAAAAGGGAAGAACAATATCTTGGAGATGCAGTACAGTACAACATTTGTGGTATTTATACCTGGTAGTGCCCCAAAAAGCTTTGGCTTGTATCAAGTCCTTTGATATGTGTGTCTAGCATTTGTATATATTTTACCTCTGCTGTTTCTGCATTCTTGTCTTGTTTCTTCTAGGATGGCTACTTTCAAATCATCTATGGAATATCCTGGCAAATTAAAATGATGTGAAATGGTTTTCTCTGCATTGTTTGTCTTGATGGCTGATTTATGTCCATTAATTTGTTTGCATGGAGATTGTCCCATTTCTCCTTTGTAGAGTCCAGATAGGCATTGTTGGCAAAAATTGGCATAAATAACATTGGTAGAGGAACAGGTAAAAGTGCCTTTGATGTTGTGTGTAACATTTTTAGGTCCAATAATTGTATTGCCCAAACAAATGTGGGGGAATAAATCCATAGTCCATTGTGTGTCAGTAGTTGTTTGTCTAAAAGCCAGTATGGATCTGCCATCAAGGACTTGGGAGAATGAAATGTTCTTGTTGAGGATGTGTTGGAGAGTACTTATGATGTGTGTGAGTGGTCTTGGCTGTGGACTAAAAGTGACAAAATGGTGTTTGATTATTTTTCCTTCTGGGTCTAACCTTTAGTAGGTTGGTTCTGGGTATCTCTCTTTATTATATGTTCCTTAATCATATTAAGTGGGTATTGACTGTAAACAGTGGATTTTGTTATGTGTTCAGGATGGAAACTGGAAGCATGCAAGAAGGTGTATTGATCAGTGGGTTTCTGCTACAGTGTGGTGATGAGATGTCCTTGTTGTAGTTTTATAGTGGTATCTAGAAAATGCACCTGTTATGTAGATTGTTCCAGGGCAAGGTTGATGTTCAGGTGAAAGTTACTGAAATCTTTCTGGAATTTTTCTAGAGATTCCTTTCCATGGGTCCAGATTAGAAAAATATCATCAATGTACCTCAAATAGAGGAGTGCTTTTTGGGTGCAACAATTAAGAAAGTATTGCTCTAGGTCATCCATAAATATGTTTGCATATTGTGGGGGCATGTATGTGCCCATCACAATTCTGTTGATCTGGAGGTAGGTTTTATTGTCAATGGTGAAATAGTTGTGTGTGAGTACAAATTAACAGAGTGTGGTGATTATGTAGGCTTCTTCCTTATTTTGAATGATATTTGTGATAGCATCTTAGGTCTAGTGAGCTAAATGACCTTTCTATTTGCTTGTTTTAAGTGGCTTATGTATTTCATTTTGTGTAATTTTGGTAATGATCATTGTACTCTGCTCTAGCATCTACCGTAACAAGGATGAGGACAATTCTACAATATGTCAAACAAACAAACAAACAATTTCCCTTTTTGAACAGTGAGTCTTAGAATTCTGCGGTTAATGCCATGCTGCCTATAGAATTCCTTGAATTTTAGTCCAAAAAACCTAATTTTTCCAGTTTTGGTGTAAGACATCACCACTGATTCAGCTTCAGCAGTTTCAGAAGCTTCATCGTTAAATATGCTAATCCACAATTAGATTATGGATTAGCATATCCATAGATCCATAGATTCCACAATAGAGTTGCACATTGGTGCATAACTGCTGCTTTCCTCACACACTGATCACACACACATATATATATAATGTACATCACACACATAATTTATGCATTGCCTTATATGATGCATACAAAACCAACCCGCTTGTCGAACATACTGCCATAAGAAGTAAATATTACTTACTGTTCCTGAATAAATAATGGCAATATACAGGTGAACAGAACTTTCCCACAAAGATGTTTCGAGTCAATGAAAAGGTCAAAGCAGGAAGGCTGGCAAACCCAGGATTTCTCGTTCTTAGCCTTCTTTTTTCTGTTTACAAAGTTCCTGCCCTAGGAATGTTTACTTTCTCTTCTGAGAAAGACCCAGAGCAATTTAGATTTGAAATATAGCTTCATCATTGAGTAGTGAAAAGCTGTTATACAGTAAGGACTTCTGAAATACAAGAGACCTGCTGATAGCTATGCATAGCATAATGCTTCTTTAACAAGAGCTCATTGTTTCTGTACTTACCACTCCCCATCTTCTTGTAAATATCTGCATGATGATAACTTAAAATTAATATTTTTTTCTCTGGTATCTATACACTATAGCAACCATTTGTAAATCTGTTAAGAGTTCCTCAACTCAGATGAAATTATTATTAAAGCAGTTAATGTTAAATCTAGACTTTTTAAGAAAGCTGTCTAAAAGCAAAGCAAAGCGTGCTGCTTATATACCGCCCCATAGCGCTTCAAGCACTCTCTGGGCGGTTTACAAGTTAATTATGCAGGCTACACATTGCCCCCCCCCCGCGAGCTGAGTACTCATTTTATTGACCTCGGAAGGATAGAAGGCTGAGTCAACCTTGAGCCGCTATCTGGGATTGAGCACAGTTTAACTGTAGTATAACAGTTTAACCACTGCACCATGAGACTCTTAACTGTCATGTTTTAGTTTGTTGTGGGCTTTCTAGGAAGGTTAGGTTTAGCTTTTTCCTTATCTAATCCAATGCTAAAATTCATTTTAGATACATGTATGTTTACAGCCTGTAAACACATTACGTGAGTAGCAGACTTCTGTAGGGTGGCCATATGTTCTCTTTTAGGTTGGATGGTCTTCCACTTACAGGTGTCCTCTGTTTGATGGACTCTCCAGCTGAGATCTGATTTAAAGCTAAAGACTTTTAAAGGGAAAATGATGAGTCCCCCCATGAGTTTTAGGAACCTGGAAAGCTATCCTAGCAGGCAGACAGGTTATCTAGCTACAGTGGGCTTCCCCACTCAGGCACAGTGCACTATGTAATTCTGCTTAAGTTGTAAAAGTAACTTCTAATTATGTACCTGTACAACTAAATTCTACCCATGGTGGTATAATAGATCAGTGGTTCTTAACCTTTGTTACTCGGATGTTTTTGAACTACAACTCACAGAAACCCCAGCCAGCACAGTTGGTGGTGAAGGCTTCTGGGAGTTGCAGTCCAAAACTCCTGAGTAACCCAAGGTTAAGAACCAGTGTAATAGATAAAGTGATGGATGAGGACTTGGGGGACCTGGCTTCAAAACTCTGCTTGATCACTAGGGTAAAACCATTTCTTAAATATTTCTTACCTGGAAAGCCCCCTTAGGGCCACTATAAGTCAGTCCTGACTTGCTGGCACATCACCAGTAGGAATCACCTGTTTATATTCCTAGACAGTGCCTTAAATTTTGTTTTAAACACAAAGTGATTGATGAACTTTTAATGTTCTTGACTGCTTCCATTTTGTTTTGCATTCCTTGCATAAAGTATACATAACTTTTCCAATGAGATAAATTCTTTACAAGAATTATTATTTATTATATTTTCTCTTTGGCCATATACTGTGGCTTCTATTAGAACTGCCTTTCTGTATTTTCCATTGGAAAAAAAGTGAAAAATATGACATAATACTGAATTATTGTTGTTGTTGTTTTAGAAAATAGTTCTTTTTAATTTGCTTACCAACTAACTTCATAGGACTGTCTTGTGTTGTTTTTAAACAGAATAAGAAATATGTGCTTATCATGGTAGATCCTGATGCACCCAGTAGAGCTGATCCAAAGTACCGTTTCTGGAGACACTGGACTATTGTTGACATTAATGTGAGTACCAAAGGTGTTTTTGCTGTTTCATATATTTTTTAGGATGTTCATAAGAGGTGAGTGAGGAATAAAAAAGGTATATATACAGCTCTGTTTCAGTCTTTTCTGTGGCTTTCCTAGGAACTTTAAACTTGGCCCTTGAAAACTACTGTGGAGTTGCATGCTTTTTCTGCAGCAAAGAGAGGGAAGTGCAATGTGTCATGCTGCCTGAAGCATGAGGATGTGCACCGAGAACCTCACTGCCATTCTCCTCTATCTCTAGGTCCTCCTCATCATTGTGTCCTCCTATTGCTGCTGTTCCTCCCTCTCCCCACAGATGCCATCATTTTTCCATCCTTCTTTTCATCCATGATGATTTGTTCTGAGGGGTCCTTCTTCAGAGAAACTCATTCAGGCCAGAATGGCCATGGAGATAGGATGTGAAGAAGTCTTACCTCTTAGTTGGGATTGAACACCTGTCCTTCATGAGGCAGGCCCTTGATGTTCTTCAACTTTAGATTTTGCTTAATTCTGCATAGCTGTCCTTTGGAAGCAGAAGAGCTCCTGAGAGGGACATCAAACTCCTATCTAAAGACAGTTAACATGTGCTCACTTGTGTTACCTTGCCTGTTTCTTTGGGAACAGCAAGACTAGAAAGCATGTGATATGGAGAAGTGGTCACAGTAGCCTTGTGAGGGATCTCTAACAGTGGCCATATCCAGGTGGTCAGGGGCTATCAGAGAAATGTAATGCTGATGATGTGCCCGTCTTTGGGTTGTTTGAGGTTACAAATGGCTGCCGCTTTTATCCTGCAGAGGTGGTCATCAGTGAGTGAGGATTCTGTGGAAGCAAGGATTTTAGAGAAGGTGGTGTTTTCTCTCTCTGATAACTGAGGGAGAAGACTGACTATTGCTCCAAAAATGCCTTTCTTATCCCTGTTAAAAGAGATGTATGCATTTAAACTTCAAATGGCCTGTTTTTAATCACATTTGAAATGGGGGAAAAATCAAAAGACAGAATATTTAAACATTGAATTCAAATAATTGAACTATGCTTATGCCTGAAATCTGTTGTACCAAAGCTTACATTTGCCTAATTGGGCTGTATTTAGTTAGGATAGCATCTATATTGGTAAGAATTGCATTGTTATGTATATATATGGCATGCCTGCACAGCTCTAACATTTGTCAACATACTCAGATGTAGCCCTCATAACCAAAAAGGTTTTGCACAGCTGGAGTAGGTCCTTCAGAAAAGTGTAATGGAGAGAGTGGGTCTTGGATAGTGGTGCTTATTATGAGTCTAGGTGAGTTACAAGTTTGTCCCTGTTATTATCTGGATAATCCAGTGTGGGTGATCATGCACACTGCTACAGAGTGTGTGTTGTGGCCTAGGCATGTCATCGCATCATACATGATGGGAATGTCATGCCCTGCTCCACCTCCCCCATTTAAATTTTTATAATTTTTATGCACTTCTTCAGGTATGCAGTTTAATTACTATTTTTAAAAAGGAATAGCATATCTGAATATGCTAAAGGAGTGGGGAGGGGAGAGATATAATGATGATCAATGAAGAGCAATGGAGTGGAGAATAGAGGAAATGGGGATGATGCCGGCAGAGATGAATCCACAGTCTTGCATCCTGAGCTCCCTGGGAGGCTCTGCAGGGTGCCTCCTGAACAGCGAGGGGCTCCTTTTTTTAACAAGCAAGCACCCTCATTAAGTTAAAAACGGCCCTGAAAACAGACCTGAGCGATGGGGTGGCAATTGAGGGAGGCAGGCAGATGACTGGGGGGGCAGGGCAGGGCTGTTCCTGTACTGCTCAAAATTGCAATATATTTGTAAAATCCAGAGCAGAAAAGAACTGGTGTATACACTATTTTGAACTGTGGGTAGGGTTTGACTCCATTTGACATGACAGGAGTCACCGTGGTTTTTCCACAACAGTGTAGTTTCAGCCTATGTTATCCTTTGGCAATAATGGCTGCATTAAACCAACTTCAACCCAACCCTCTAAAATAATCTGAGTTGAACCTTTTGCTAATTATGTTCAAAGAGTAAAAGTTATAGAGAATTCTGCACTCAAGTGTTAATAATCATGGTTCTCTGCCAGATTATAGTAATACTGCATACATTAATTCATGAATATTTGTGAAGTGTCAGGAAATTATGGATTGAAGGGAGGGGGGGAGAGAGAGAGATTGGCAGACAGCTATCATTATTTTTCTAATAATTCTGTACTGTTGTCTGACCTTCCTCCAAAGTTACGAGCTCTAATAAAACCCACTGGTAAAACAGTTATTTACTGATTATTAAGAGTCACTGGTTATTCTTCTTTATGCTTTCTTATATTTTCCGATGTTTTAAAGCTTTAGATTTTTGTCACCTCTGATCTGATGTACTAATCTTTGTACTAATGTCTACTTAAGATATCAATTAATTTGCAATCTACATTTTAAAAGAACTATCTAGTTGCTCTACATTATTCTCTGAAATTACTCCAAAAGGCTTTTTGTTGTTGCTGCTGTTTAGTCATTCAGTCGTGTCCGACTCTTCGTGGCCCCATGGACCAGAGCATGCCAGGCCCTCCTGTCTTCCACGGCCTCCTGGAGTTGAGTTAAATTCATGTTGGTCGCTTCGATGACACTATCCAACCATCTCATCCTCTGTCGTCCCTTTCTCCTCTTGCCTTCACCCTTTCCCAACATCAGGGTCTTTTCCAGGGAGTCTTCTCTTCTCATCAGATGGCTAAAGTATTGGCGCCTCAGCTTCAAGATCTGTCCTTCCCATGAGTACTCAGGGTTGATTTCATTCAGAACAGATAGGTTTGGTCTCCTTGCAGTCCAGGGGATTCTCAAGAGCCTCCTCCAGCACCACAATTCAGAGGCATCAATTCTTCGGCGGTCAGCTTTCTTTATGGTCCAGCTCTCACTTCCATACATCACGACAGGAAAAACCATAGCTTTGACTATGCGGACTTTTGTTGGCAAGATGATGTCTCTGCTTTTTAAGATGCTGTCGAGGTTTGTCATTGCTTTCCTCCCAAGAAGCAGGTGTCTTTTTAATTTCTATTGGGTTTTTTGGGACATCCAGATCTTTCTGATATAATTCATCTGTGTATTCTTGCCACCTCTTCTTGATGTCTTCTGCTTCTGTGAGGTCCCTCCCGTTTTTGTCCACATCTCCAATTTTCTTGAACAGACGTCTGGTTTTTCCCTTTCTATTATTTTCCTCTATTTCTTTGCACTGTTCATTTAAGAAGGCCATCTTCTCTCTCCTTGCTATTCTTTGGAAGTCTGCGTTCAATTTTCTGTAACTTTCCTATCTTCCTTGCATTTTGTTTCCCTTCTCTTCTCTGCTATTCGTAAGGCCTCATTGGACTGCCACTTTGCTTTCTTGCATTTCCTTTTCTTTGGGATGGTTTTTGTTGCTGCCTCCAGCCATAGTTCTTCAGGCACTCTGTCCACCAAATCTAGTTCCTTAAATCTGTTCTTCACTTCCACTGTGTATTCATATGGGATTTGGTATAGATTATACCTGAGTACCCAGTGGTTTTTCCTACTTTCTTCAGTTTAAGATTGAGTTTTGCGATAAGAAGCTGATGATCAGAGCCAGAATCAGCTCCAGGTCTTTCTTTTTGCTGACTGTATAGAGCTTCTCCATCTTTGGCTGCAGAGAACATAATTAATCTGATTTTGGTATTGCCCATTTGGTGATGCCCATGTTTAGAGTCACCTCTTGTGTTATTGGAAAAGAGCATTTGTGATTACCAGCTTGTTCTCTTGACAAAACTCTGTTAGCCTTTGCCCTGCTTCATTTTGAACTCCAAGGCCAAACTTACCTGTTGTTCCTTTTATCTCTTGACTCCCTACTTTAGCATTCCAGTCCCCTGTAATTACAAGAACATCTTTCTTTGGTGTCAGTTCTAGAAGGTGTTGTAAGTCTTCATAGAATTGGTCAATTTCAGCCTCTTCAGCATCGGTGGTTGGTGCATAAACTTGGATTACTGTGATGTTAAAAGGTCTGCCTTGGATTCATATTGAAATCATTCTATCATTTTTGAGATTGTATCCCAGTACAGCTTTTCCCACTCTTTTGTTGACTGTGAGGGCTACTCCATTTCTTCTATGGGCTTCTTGCCCACTATAGTAGATATGATAATCATTTGAATTGAATTTGCCTGTTCCTGTCCATTTTAGTTCACTGATGCCCAGGATGTCAATGTTTATTCTTGCCATCTCCTGTTGGACCACATTCAGCTTACCAAGGTTCATAGATCTTACATTCCAGGTTCTTGTGCAGTATTTTTCTTTGCAGCATTGGACTTTCCTTTCACTTCCAGGTGTGCCCACAGCTGAGCGTCCTTTTGGCTTTGGCCCATCCACTTCATTAGCTACTATACATGTACTTGTTCTCTGGTCTTCCTCAGTAGCATGTTGGACGCCTTCCAACCTGAGGGGCTCATCTTCCAGCATCATATCTTTTAGCCCTTTGTTTCTGTCCATGGAGTTTTCTTGGCAAAGATATTGGAGTGGCTTGTCAATTCCTGCTCCAGGCGGATCGTGTTTAGTTGGACCTCTCCACTATGACCTGTCCATCTTGGGTGTCCCTGCACGGCATAGCTTCTCTGAATTACTCAAGCCCCTTCGCCACGACAACGCAGCAATCTGTGAAGGGATTGGTTTTTGTACAGATACCTTAATTAGACTTTTTATTGTTAATGGGAATATTGAGCAAATTAAAATTGGATAGTAGTACTTTCTGTTATTTTCATAATTGGCTAAAGAAATAAAGCATTCAGAGTAATTGTAGCAGCTTGTGTACAATTTTATTCTTATATAAATTCTTTTATAGAAATCTTTACACACTCCTTAACAATGGGGGCTTGAAAGTCTCTAATTAATTTGAATATTTATTAATTTATTAATCACAAAAAAGCTGGAGCTAATTTTTGTTCTTCTGTATGTAGATCCTTCTGATATATTAACTGTTTCTAATTATTGTAATTAAAAATAACTT